ATTATTATCTCAAGAGAAAATGGCGCTTCTAGACGACCAAGGTCGCACATTGCGGTGCTCGTGTGTAGACAGAACCATGAAACACAAGAGCCACGCACCACCGACTTACGAAAAAGAAAAGAGAGGTTGCACACTTCATGCATAGAACAAAACAAACTCAGAAATTGCACACCGATGGCACTTGCAATTCGAAAACGCACAACCATAGAAGAACACGGCCTGAACCCACAAGGATAGCATGAAAGCTAGCCCACTCTGCCGTGCACAAGACGCGCACAGAAACACAGACAGACCTTAGGCATGCCGCGAAGTGAGCGATCTGCAGAGGCGAGAGGCGTTCTTGTGGGTAGAGGGGCAGGGTCATGCGCTCCACTGGGGGGCAGGTTCTCAAGTGGTCGGTAACCTTGTAGGCCTGACAGACCGGGGGCGGGGGCGGGGTACGGGTTGTCGTACGGCATGCGAAAGGGGCGGAAAATATAATATAAGCGAACATGATGAAGGCAATCGCAAAGTAACAACAACAGGGACGAAAGCAACGACAACGGTGGACGCATGCTAGGCAGCCAAGGCAGCAGTGGTGCAGGCAAGAGAGACGCACAACAAAACAAAAATACTGCATCGAGCGTTTGTTGTCTTTGGCCCATCCATCCTTCAATCAAGCGAAGCGATTTTACACCTTGCAACAACCGTGCGGTGCGCCGCTTCCTCCCACACGCTGCTGCCATCAAGATTAGTTCTCTTCCACACACACCTGTCAACGCTTCTAGCATCATCTTGTCCTACGACTGCGCACCTTCGGAGACTGGTAGACTACGCACCTTCGGAGGCTGGTAGACGTCCAGAGCCGACGCGTCGGCGCCGAGCTCCACCATCACCGACACGCCCGCCTTGGTGGAGGAAGCGTCGGCGATGATCATGTCCTCCGGATCGCACGCCAGGACCTGCATTGTTTTGTTGTGGCGATGCGATTTAGAGGGGCAAGGTGTTAAACAACAAATTGGTTTATATGCACCCACACCCTAAAATCTTGCACGAGCGAACAAAAAAATAAGAGCAACAGCAACAGCAAACACATCAAATCATCACCACCTCCGCATCCACCAACAAAAACTTAACAACAGCACCAGCACCCCCCCCCCCCCCGGGACAAATACAAACGGAAAAACCGGGCCCCCGCCCCCCCCCCTTAACGGGAACTCCCCCTTGAGCAACCACATGCCCGGGAGTCCGCGGCCCCCTGAGCGTCCCCCCCCGGGAAACCCCCTATTCCCCCCTTTGGCCCGCCCCCCCTGAACCCCTGGGGCCCCGGGGAAAAGCTCCAAAAAAAACGGGCCCAGAATAAAAAGGCCCCCCGCCGTAACAAGGGGAAGGGGGGGCCAAGGCCTTGCTTGGCTAAAGGATGCCTAACTGGGGGCCAATGGGTGGGTGTTAATTTCCAAGTTGTTGTTTAAGTCCTTTTTGT